GTAAACAATTACATCATCTGAACCATCTGAATTATGTTGAGTAATATGGAGGTTCGTTAATGATATGAGCGAAGAAAATTATACTTGGCATCTTTGAATTTCGAGAAAATAATTAAATGAAAAATACCGTTTTGTAACTTCAACGCCCTGTATCTCAGAATCTGTTCATCAAAGAACTTTACGATTCTGCAGGTTCAATCAGTTCATCGAATTCTACAACATACTGAAAATTCAGAAAATTTCACCGAGAACCATTTTACGTACTAAAAGTGCGGGGTCCTTTCCGAACAAGAAAGTGCTTTTTCTCAATCATTTTGCTCAGGATAGTGATTGGTACAGGTGCCGTTCGATGAACTACAATGTTTTTACTTTCCTTTGGGACATATATCATTTCGTTATCAGATGACGGTAGAAATCTGCAGCCGGCTCTCCCTACTATAAAGCACATCAATAAAATTTGGTTATTTAATCACAGAGGGCTTCGATAATATTCACAAGAAACTCGAGCTATCATCCATATGATCTATAAGGCACAGATCCTACCTCTCCTGTAACACTGGTCCCATATTTGGAGTGCAGCACCCAAACATACCCTGAAACTGTTGGATTCTGTCCAAATAAGGGCAATTTGTCTGGTGGGTGATGCCTCGCTCAGAAACTCACTCACTTCTCTGGAACACCGTGGAAAAGTTGCCGATCTGGCTCTATTTTATAGATATCTTCTTGGACGATGCTCTTCTGAAATATCAACAATTGTTCTTCCCCTGGCAGTCCCGCGAGATTAACCAGTCGAGTTGAGGCTTCGCACCGCTTCGTGGTCACTTTGGAGACCTGCAGAACATCACTTTCCAAAGACTCGTTCATATAACCAACAGCGAGGATCTGGAACACATTGTCAAGGGAGGTGTTTCCGAGGCATATTAACTCCAGAAATTTGAGATGATCACCAATTCCTACCTTATTTCCTTTGGTTCTCACGATGTTCTCTGAATATTACAGGATATCCCTTTTCGTGGGAACGAGAACATTAATGAAAATAACCCTCAAGGAAACATTTTTGGACCCATGTTTATATAAACATTTTCCCTATTTTTGTATCGACACACATATCTTTCAGGCCGCATGGAGGAAGAGGAGATTCGCGTCCTCCACCGCGGCGACTACTTCGGGGAGCAGGCCCTCCTCAAGGAGGACCTCAGGACGGCCTCGGTGATATCTGTCTGTCCCGGCGTGGAGTGCCTCACTCTAGACAGGGAGCACTTCAAACAACTGATAGGGGACATCAGCGAGATCAGAGAGAAGGACTACGGGGACGAGGAGAGACTGAACAAGCCCTCGACTTCCTCGGAGCAACAAGGTACTTTGATGAATTCTTTCGAATTTCAATTCTTATCGAGAACCATTCTTCCTCTACATTTCGATTCTTTCAGCAGGTCTTCACGTGCACCTGTTCATTTTTTAGTTTACTTTGACAGATATTCTTGGAGTTGCTGGGGCTCCGTTTGTTGTTGTCCTTTCAGGGAAAAGGATTATGGCGAGCAGAAAAGGATTTTTTTTTTATATACATACATATGTTTATATATCCCTCTGCTTGATCGTCACTTCAAATCAGTGCAGTCAATGTACAGATGTAAGTGTGTGGACAGTTTTCCAAAGATTGAAGGAGTTTGGTTCGAAAGCTTGCTGACTCAAATTGCTTCCGCGTCACCGAATAGCTTGACTGAAATTCGCCACTTGACATTTGATTGGGAAATTGAGGCAAATGGAACAATGTTCTTTTTACTGACGAATTCAAATCCTGCTCATATTCTATGGAGAAGAGTGAGACAAAAAATTGCAAGGTGGACTTTCACTCTCCGTCTGAGCTATAATGAAGGTTCAGTTATTGTTGTGAGCAGGAATAACCCGGGAGGCCTGCACTAAGTTGGTGGTCATCGATGGATTCTTGACAGCCCACCGATATATCCATGACAAATCAAACAACCATGTTGTTCCTTTCAGTGGATATGTACCGGCGATGACTTTATCCTATTACAGGATAATGCACGACCACTCACAGCAATTTATGTTACTTCGCAGAAGTACCCATCAACAAAATAAACTGTCCAGCATATTCACCTGAACTCAACCCCATAGAACATGTAAGAGACATTCTTGGTAGATTAGTAAGGAATCGCGAAAAAGCTCCAATTACGGTGAATAAGCTTCATTTAGCCCTTCAGGAGAAATGGCACAATATTCCCATGTTGCTATTTGTGATCATATCGACAGTATGAACCATGATATGCAGGCAAACGAAAAAGCTAGAAAAATTTAAGCAGGCCAGCCTCAGTGATATCTGTCTGTCCCGGCGTGGAGTGCCTCACTCTAGACAGGGAGCACTTCAAACAACTGATAGGGGACATCAGCGAGTTCAGAGACAGAACAAGCCCTCGGCTTCCACGGAGCAACAAGGTATTTTGATAAATTCTTTCAAATATAAATTCTCATCGAGAACCATTCCATTTCCACATTTTGATCCCTTCAGCATATCTTCACGTGCACTGCTTTATTTTTAAGAGCGTTATAAACTGTTCACCAACAGTTTATTTCGAGAAATGATATTTTTGGACTAGCTGGCTTTGGTCGTTGTTGCCTCATCAAGGAGGAGGTTTTTTCGTTATATATTAATATATATGTTTATATATTTCTAGTGAGGACACATAATATGTTCCTTCGGGTGAGAAGAGATCAACTACTCCAAGAGGTTCGAGGTACAAATGTAAGTGTGTGGATAGTTCCCCAAAGATTGAAGGAGTTTGGTTCGAAAGCTTGCAGACCCAAATTGCTTCTGCGTCACCAGATAGCTAGACTGAAATTCGCCACTCTGCATTTGATTTGGAAATTGAGGAAAATGGAAAAATGTTCTTTCTACTGACGAATCCCAATGCTGCTTATATTCTATTGAGAAGAGCTAAAAAAAGTTTTGCAGGGTAGACTTTCAGTCTCCGTCTGAGCTATATGTAGGAGGTTCAGTAATCGTTATGGTCAAGAATAACCCGGAAGGCCTGCACTATGTTGGTGGTCATCGATGGATTCTTGACAGCCCACCGATATATTGATGACACAACAAACAATCATGTTGTTTCTTTCAGTGGATATACCGACGATAACTTTATCCCATTGCAGGATAATGCACGACTACATAAAGCAAATTATGCTACCTCGCAGGAGTACCGATGGATAAAATAAACTGTCGAACATACTCACCTGAACTCAACCCAATAGAGCTTGTAAGAGACATGCTTGGTAGATGAGTAAGGGATCGTGGTGGAGCTCCGATTACGGTGAATGAGCTTCGTTTAGCCCTTCAGGGGGAATGACACAATATTCCTCTTGTTGCTAGTTGTAATCACATCTACAGTATGAACCATGATATGCAGGAAATCATAGAAGCTAGGAGTGATAATGAAAAATCTAAGTACGACCTCACGACGGCCTCGGCGATATCCGTCTGCCCCGGCGTGGAGTGTCTCACTCTAGATAGAGATCACTTCAAAGAACTGATAGGGGACATCAGCGAGATCAGGAAGAAGGACTACGGGAAAAAGGAGAGTATTTCGATGATTTTCTTCGAAATATCAATTCTTATCGGGACTTAGATATACCACAAATATCTTTTGAGGCCCTTCTGAGGCGTTCACAATACTGTCCTCATGACGTCGAGGGCGAGCCTGAGGACGTTTCTAGGTTATTTTCCTGTTTCCAATATCTACGTCCCAATAACGTCTCAGGACCTCCCGATAAGGTCTTCTGGGACATGCATGAGACGATATGAGAACAACTTTAGGCAGTATTCTGAAATGTCTCCTGGACATCTTTCCATGACATTTTAGGGATATTCAAGAAGAATTGAAGATAGGTTGATACAAATGAGGATTTTCAGAAAAAATATGGATCTCATGATATTTGCAGAATTTCCCTCTATTGCTAGAATGTTCAAATGGAAAACAACTCACATTCTATCATTCATA